TTTGTGCATTATATCCCCCATTCTGCTCAGGCACTTTTGGGTTTAATTTCCCCCGTTCCTGTGAATCTTAAATCACTCTTTACGCAGCACTTTGCGTGGGGGTGAAGTTTTCTTAGACAGCAGCAGGCTGGGAAAACATTAATTAAACTTCTCATAATAAGGGATAATTACGGTCCCGGTGAGGCCGGGAAAATGCCATTTACCCACCGCTGGAACCGAAACAAGCCCCCTGGCTTGCAGCAGGGCTGGGGTCGGAGCATCCCGTTTGTTATCCCGGATCAAACCCCATCCAGATTCGTCCCTGTTGTATTTTTCCAGGATAAATAACCTCCTTTGTGGAGGATTTTGCAGGGCGCTCTTGTTCCCGCGGGGCTGCCTAGCACCGCCTGCCCAGAGCAAAACAATTTCCAGTTATTCAGGATTTTACCCTTTCCTGGATTCCCCTGCTCTTCCTTTTAATAGCGGAGGAAGAAATAAGCCCCGATGCTTACGGCATTGTAGGATCGGAGCAAAAGCACCAGCGGTTTGGGAGAGGGCAAAAATCAGAGCGGTGGCAGGATTTTACAAGGGGTGAAGGAACAGCGATGCGGTTTGCATGTTAAATCTGGGATTTGATGGGAACTGGCCCCAAATTCCCATTTTGATGGGAACCAGCCCTAAATTTCCGCTCCAAAGGGTGCAACCCTTTCCCACGGAAGGATTTTCAGTGCTTCCCCGCATCCTGGAGGGAGGACTTGAGCCCCACCACATCTCACCAAGGCAGGGGGCTGCCGATCAGGATCCGGCCCAGGGGATACTCCTTCCCTCGCACCGTCACTGGTGGGCTGACATCCAGGTTGCCGAAGGAGTCAAGGCTGGAGATGTCTTTCATGGGGGGCTCACGGGTCACGTAGCCAAAATCGGGGCCCTGGGGAAGAGAGGAGCAGTGATGGGGACCCCCCAGGCAGAGGATTTTAGGGGGTGAAAGGGTGTTGGCAACACAATGACGCACCAGGATCTTTTTAAAAGCAAAATCCTTCAAGCCTCTGTTCCTGGGTGAGTCAAAGACAACGGGGAAGGTCTTGTGCGGTGCTTGCACGTAACCAAACTCCAGTTCATCCTGTTGTGGGAAGAAAAGAAGGAAGAGGAGCAGGAGGAGGAAGAGGAGGAGGAGAAGAAAGGCTCCTTGGCAGGGTGATAGCCATCTTGGCAAGGCGTGTGGTGAGGGTGGAGCAGGAAATGGGGCAAACCTGGCCAAGCCTGGCTGTTGCCCTTAACCCCAAGGGAGGCAGCTGCCTTGCTGTCCCGAGAGGTGACATCCCACCAGGCACGGGTCACCCCCAGAGGAAGCAACACGTTGCCACAACGGGCAGGGGAGCGGGGCAGGGACGGCAGGGCTTGGGCACGCTGCACGTCCAACCGGCATCACCATGTCCTCCTTGCGATGCACCGTGGGGTCTCTCTTGCAGCGGAGACCCTCTTGCAATGCCCCATGGGGTCCCTCTTGCAATGACCCATTGGGTCCCTGGACAACATCCCTGTCTGTGCTGGTTGCCACCACCAGCAGCTTTTCCCCCGTGCTTTAGGTCACAGTTGCCTGGTTCACCTCAGCATCTACGTGCTTCCCTGAGCAACGCAGCTGATCCCTCCCCAGAGGCGCCAGCAACAGGGGTGACACCCTACGTGCCCCAGGAACCTGTAAGGGAGCAGGAGAGCCGCGTATTACGAGCATCGATTGATGACCTGGATCCAGCGGTCACTGCGGGTTTCCATCTCTGAGCAGATGGTCAACTTGCA